CGGCAGTTGTCTGGGTCCAGGGACCACCAGCTGCTGTCCTCACACAGGAGCCATGCTCATCTCTTCACTTTGGTTTTGCCGCAGAAGGAGCAAGCGTGCATGGCATGTGGTCTGATTTCAAGTTTCTACACCAGTTTTCCTAAGGGAGGTGCCATAACATGGGTCCCATATTAACCGATGATTCCGACCTTGGTGCACCAAGCCCAGAGGGCAATTCATATCTTCACCTATCTACCTCAGGAAGATTGTGAGGTTTCCTTTACATAGGTCCTGCATATCTCTTGTCAAGTTTATCCCTGTCAATCTTCTTTTTGAATAACGATTTCATTATGTTTTTAGTGATGGTTTTCACAACCGCTTAGGTTCATATTCAATAATCTCTACACCAGTCGTTCAGTGACACTGGCTCTGTTCTTCAGAATGTGTGAGCATTCTTACTATTTTCATTCTGGTTGCCCTCTTGCCATTTATCTAGTATCCAGGCTCCCTTACTTTCTCTTGTCTTTGTTTTAAAGTCATTACTGACCATTTGGTTTCATATAAGTGATTTTTTTTTTTTAAAGAAGCACAGTACTTAGGGATGGTGGTGGTGGTGGCTATGTACTGTACCGTGGAGTCAGTTCCGACTCATAGTGACCCTACAAGGAGTTTCTGAGGCTGTAAATCCTTACGGGAGCAGAAAGCCTCATCTTTCTCCCACGAAACCGCTGGTAGTTTTGAACTGCTGACCGTGAGATTAGTAGTCTGATTCATAACCAGTATGCTACCAGGGTTCCTTTTTATGGGTATTATTATTTAGTCAATTTGTTATGTAGCTGTAATGGGACCCCAGGAGTTAGTTTGGGTGCAAAGTTTGAAGAGTACCTCGGGGCAATAGTCTCCGGGAATCCTCCAGCCTCAAGCAGATAAATAGGTCAGTTATTTGGGGTTTTTTTGTTTTGTTTTTAATGTTTTATTGTGAATTATGTGATAGTTTACATGGGAGAACATTAGCTTTACATTCATCCTATCGTATTTATTTCATTGCCATGGTTACAATCTCCTCCATGCATCATCAAACAACCAAAGGGTATACCCTACAAGCCTGCCCCCCGGTCGTCAGCACACAGCCCTTCTCCCTCTCTGGGTCTA